ATATATATATATATATATATATATATATATATATATATATTGTACCAGTGAAAATCTTCGAAATATGCTCGTATTCAACTCAACTCTTTCACACTGTAACTCAGCTGTAATTGTAGACGGAAATATGCAGTCAGCGTGCGAAACAGAAAAGGACGTCCTTTCAGAACGGTCAGCTTTATACAAAGAACTCATGAACGTACGTTTTCAATAATGGTGTGTGGTGAAGGGCTTACTTTAGGTAAGCAATAAAATATATATGCCCGGTAAATCATAGATTAGTTTCATAAAGTTGGCTATTATGTTTCCGTACATAGGTTTTCGAAGTAGTAGTTATCATAATGTCCAGTGTTGGCCTTCCTGCCTTAATAACGTTTTTCTTATCTTCAAAGTTCCGCGAAACAAACATCAATAAATCACAAATCACGGACGTGTGTTCGTCTACGCCGATGCCTGCAGTTGAAAGATTTACACCATGATACCTCTGTTAACCGTAATTTGATCGTCTTGACAAATCAATTATCCGGAATATGTTTCGTAATGGGTTGGGGTAGAAATTCTGGAACTTAAGAAAACGTGCGCAGATTACACTTTCCCCATTCTACGTCACATACGTTCGTGCTCGTTCTGCCGAACACTAGCGGAGCAGATGCATTCTTACTGATTGCATACCTTAGGATCTGTGCCGAATTAAATCACGGGCCCGAAGGGTCCCCAATGTCCAAGGGCTCCCATAGTTCTTAGAAAAATTGAATACGTAGTTCACTTTTTAACAATGGTCCGTTTGTGAATGAGAGCGAGAATGACCCGCGATCGAATCAGTGGGCATACGCGTATGATTCGATTCTTTAGTGCAAGAAACTTGGCAGCAGCGGAAATTCACCGTTATATTTGTGAAATTTATGATGATAATGTAATGAGTGACAGTAAAGTTTGCAATGATGTCAAAATGCACATTCCGTAAATGCAATGACTCACAGTCTTTTGGATGGGAACAACTGGATCATTCACGTTACAGTTCAGACCCTGCGTGTGATAATGCTTGTTTTGGTTCTTAAAGGGGTTTCTTGGTGACCAACGGTTCAACGACGTCGACGAAGAAATGAAAACTGCAGTCATGGATTGGGCTTCTTCACAGGTGGCAGAATTCTTTGACGTCAGAATTCAAAAACTTGTTAAACGGTACGACCAATGTTCGAACAGAAACGGAAATTATATGTAGTAAAGTTGGCATAACGGAGTGATATGTCGCGCATCATTAGGCAATGCGAGTATTATTAATATAGAATGTTACTGATTGATACATTTCAATATTATTGTACAATACAATAAAAAATTAAAACTATTTAACCATTAACATTGAAACATAAATATAAATATGCTGTTCATACTTCGGGCTCATCCATAATTTACAGAAGTGTCAAGAGGGGGTTAGTGTTACGTTACGCTGTCAGTGTTTTTTTTTGTATTTTTTGTTTGTTTTTTGATTTTTTGTGTTTTTTTTAATTTGCTGAAATAATTCCTTTTATTCAGTCATACACTAAAACATTAAAATATTGACACTAAATTTAAAAAAATATAAATCAATTAAAAAGCTTTGTGATATAAATGTTTACAATAATTGAAAATGTATTTTCATCAATTGATTGAATCGTAGATTATGAAGAAAATATTCGAAACAAACATACAGCATTTTCTAGACTACAATTAAATTGACGCAGTAAATTCTCTCTGTGTCTTCCACGACAACGTGTGCACTAGTCCACAATTTTCTCGCCATTGCTTGCCTCCTTCCTTCACGTAAAAATTGTTCCCCAAATTTATTGTTAGGTGCAGTTAGCATCGCCAATTAATTCTGATTTTAATTATAATTAATTTTAATACATTTAACACAATTAAATTAATACAAATTGTTTTAATTGTTATATAATTTATTTTTACTTTTTGAAAATGTACGTTTGCTAGAATTACGTATTTTTTTGGGGGTGTTCAAGTAGGCGTTGCAGGTTTCAAGTTTCAAGAGGGAAAGGGGGTATTCAAAATGATCCAAATTTGCCTTACGTAATTAATGGACGATCCGTTACATATATGTAAATGTTATTTTTTTTGTTTGAATAATATAAAGTTGAAACACTAAGAAATACTTGCTATTTTTTTTTAATTTCATAATACAATGTGAATTGACAGGATTTTCTATATATTTCAACATCGAAATTGAGGGAATCAGTGAAAGTAAGAATAGGGGGGCCTGGAAAGTAATCTAGGCCCGAAGGCCCCCAATGCTGTGAAAATGACCCTATTTAGAGAATACCTCACGTAGTAGTTTCATTTATAACAATAAACTAAAATCTTAATTACACGTATCAGCATAAACATATACCACTTAGAATTACGCACTTCAGTGTACGTACATCTATACGCATTTATTATTAAAAGCTAACGACCATATTATTTAATTCTTAAAATAATTAAAAGCTAACGGCAGTTCTTTTTAGTCCGGACTGACATAAGGAAGAAGTCCGGAAGACGATACGCCGTTAGTCCAGTTTAAACAGTGCGTGCCAAGGCATGGATTAACGTCGGACTAACCTCAATTCAGTTTCATTGTATATTGTGAACTGTGTGCGCTCGTTATTAGTGAGAGTTGGTTGGTGATTTTGATGTGCGTGAAGCTAACGTAGTGCGTAAGATGCTAAATGTGAAATCGTTTGGAAGGAGAAGGATACTGTACGGTGAGGGATTGTGAACATGAATAGATATGTAAGATTTTCGTTTGAAAAACTAGTTTCATCCAAGCGAGGTCCCGCATTTCAACCGATTGCAGGGGCCCACCTAACGCACCGAGTACACCCGATCGTCTCCGAGCCTCCTGACGCCCCACGTACTCCGCGCTGCACCTCACCACGGTAGTTACGCTCGTACACACTCCGATGCTTGACAAGCGCAGGCATTTCATCACTGCCAGTGTAAGACGACACCACGCTTTCCACAAATTAGAAGATTTGTAATATAAACAAAGTAAGTTTTATTTTCTGTCACAAATTAAGTTTTTTTAAGTTAACCGGGTACGCAGTGCATACCTTGCGTACATGGAGGACACACCACTGGTTTTCAATCAACAAACCTAATATTAAACGAAATAAATTCTCCAAATTTCATAAATAATGCGTTCAATGCCGTCAATAAATGACTGAACATGTGTATTTTCCATAACTGGCAAAATTTACAAAATTAAGTCGCAGCTAGGGTCAGTCGAGGACAGAAAATTGGTATTTCCCTCGGACTGCCTCGGACACCGCGCAGTGCTCTGTGGCAGGAGCCCCCACCCACTGGTTGCTTTATGTTGAAGCACAAGGCCAAAGAGTAAATGCAGTAATAGAGCCAAGAGCGCGGCATGGTGAAACACCTGGGAGAGCACCACTAGGCGGAGAGAGCGCTAGTTGGGCGCTCTTTGGTTTCAGAATGATTTAATACACAACAATATTAGTGTAATATATTGAATATTGAATTCATTGCAAGAAAAATGTATATTCGTAAAATATTATATGATCTGTTTCGATTATTTGGGGGTTGTGCAATCGTACAACATAAGCACCAGCCGCCACTGCTCAGGCGTATTACACATTTCAATATATTCTAAAATGAAAAACAATACACTTGAGTAAACATTCTATTCAAATGACTTTGTCAATTACGAGAAAAATTAAATTGATTAATTCATGATCCCTAAGTACCTTGAAATACGTCATAATATTTTAATTAATTAACAATGTAACAGAATCTCATAGCCATTACTTGACTTCATTGCAATGATACATGACAATAAATATTTTACAAGTTATTAATGTTCTTTCTCCTAGCACTGGTTGAGTGCAAAACCTGTAGCTGTTATTGTACAGTGACAGAGGTTTGCGCAACTTGAGTGAGTGTTGCACTTGATCTTGGCTAAGGAGGGTACGACATTTGGCTGAGTCTTCTCGCTCGCGCCGTTACGATTGACTTTAATTCTCTTTGACTATGCCCCTTCAGCCTAAACAAAAGTGGAATACTTCAATACCTACAGTAAAGGAGTGAAGGATGTCGCAGGAAGTGAGCTGTTTCTCGCTACCCCAGTGGCGCCATGGCGTTCGGTTGCTGGCCGATGGTAACCATGTCCTTCTCCCATCTCCAAATTCCCACACTTCGCCTCGTGAACGAATCTGCGAAGTGATAATGCCAGAGTTTCGTGAGTACAATGAAAATACAAAAGAGAAAGAGGCAAAAGTAAACAGCTGCAAAGAACTGGAAGGCAGAACATTAGTATTATTTCTGCATATGATGGCGTAAGCGACACTTAAGTGTTCACAAGGTAGGGTACGCGATTCACATGGTGGTATATTTTTATTACATAACATCAAATCAAGATCAGACGTTCATTACCGCCTTTACAGATTTTGCGGTGCATATATCAATCCTTAAAGCTCTTGCCGCGTGAACTTGAAATTGTTGCCGTTAGTGGCGCGCGATTTAGATGGTACTCACTGTTCGTTTCACTGACCTCTGAACGCTGACACTACATTGGTGAATCATTTCAGGTGGAACACACACACACATCACCCTCTTCTTCTCAATGAGATGAATAGGTGTGTCTTATGTCATTTTGCTTAGAAACACTTGGTTATTTCACAGCAGTTTCTTGACTATTTCGCTCCGGCTATGATGCCCAAACTGCTGTGCTTAAAGTGCGAAGGAGCGCCGAGGATACTCCCAAGAAATGTCGAACAAAAATTTCGAATACAAATGACGAACGAAAATGTGTAAATGGGCTTATTATGGCAACCAGTATCGAGCCGGCTCTGCGATCGCGTCCGTCCACAGTCCGTGAGCACCTAAGCCCTCCAGCTGGCCGTCAGAAGTGCTGTGAACTCGCTGTTCTCAAATTATGTAAATGACCCCCCGAGTGTGCAACAGTTCTTCGAGTCTTCGAAATGTGCGCAAAGTTCTGATGTCATGCAGGCTCCGACGAAATAGGAAAATTAAACAACAACAAAAAATGTTTACGTCGGAAGATGCTTGGATATTGAAAGACCAATTCACAAAATTATTTAGATATAATGTTTACTTCGGAAAAACATAACTTCAAGTTTTTATTTTTTTACGTTATGCTATGCAACGTTTCGAGGCAGAATTGTTTTATCATCTTCAGGCTACAAAGAATATAAAAGCAAATTAAGCGGACACTGAACTAAATAAAATGTTACTGTCGCTAAAATGTGTAAAATATAAGTTAAATGATCTGATAAAAAGCAATAAACTGTAAAATTATACAATTAAAAAACACTGTTTACATTCTTTTGAGATCAAAACGGTAAAGATCGCACATATTATCGACAACGCAAGATCTACAACGTACATATTATCGAATACTAACATCGGTACACCGCAATTATGAGGAACACGCTGGCGTGGTTTCTTTAAATGACAGAGCTTTTATTGCTCATTTCTCCATCTTGAAAACCGTGAGTGACGGCTCAGGGCATCAACTGATGTCACTGCAGTACCTCTGACGAAGAGTCCCGACGGTAGCAAGATCTTCGTCACTAGCTTGTCAGCCAAGTCTAATACAGTCGCTGCCTGGAGGAGAATTCTAGCGGCCGGCTACTCTGATCAGTAGTTTTCTGTGAATTCTCTGATCAACACCAAGCGAATGACGGACCAGTACCCTATCAAACGGACCAACCCCCACTTGTCAACGGTAGATCGGCGCCCTAGTAGTAACTTATCGGAAAAATTAGAAAACGTGTTTCATTCCTCAAGTACCCCAAAATCAAAATATCCATTTCGCAGAACCTTGAGTTTGTTTAGATCGATCGGGGAATATCAATTTTGGAGAAAATGGTCAAAACAGATTCGGCGCTAGCGTTGACCACAGAGAGGACAGACGGACGTGAAGGCGTCAATTGATTTTTCGATATCAAGAACGTTTAAAACGTATATTCTGACTGCACCACATGTTAGCGAAAAAAATACTACAAGCAGGTATAATTATACTCTTTTTGGGTACCAGCTCCTCTCAATATGAGACATTCCGTTGAAAAATTCTTATTTCTGCCGCTGCATTACAATTCTTCTTCTTTACTACGTAGTGCGTAGTAACGTAGTACGTAGTACTTACTTCGTAACACCTAGTAGAAAATAAATATTCATATAGAATTACAATATTGCGTAACCGTGACAAAAATGTGAGAGTATACAGGTGTCCCATTTAACTTGACAACGTGGAATAACTCAAAAAATACGCGATGTACGAAAAACTGAGCCGAGACCAAATCTTAACAGTTTTGAAGGGGAAATTATTCTATGCTAAAATCAGCACCCCCTGTCATCAGCAGGTGGGGCGGTGGGCAACATTGAAATCTTAAATAGGAACCCCCGTTTTTTATTTCACATTCGGATTCCACAGACAAAAATACATAAATTTTGTCTGAAACTTTTTTTCTGATTTGTGATGGGTGGAGCTCTAATCGCAAAAATTTAATTTCCGAATGGGGCACCTGTATACGTGGCGCCACAGTTTTTTTGAAATGTAGGAAAAACTGAGGCGGGGACTGGTAAGGTGGTGTAGGGGTAATATGAATGTCATATTAGTTATTTGAACCTGCCTTCGACCAAGCGCGTGGAAGAAAATATTGCTGCTTGGAATTACTTTTACAGGCTGATTGAGTATTAAAATATTTCCTAACGGTTGAACATGAAAATAGAAAGTTTGTGCTGCTTTGGCATAATTTTTTGTCATTTCACAAGCTACGTTTTTGCAAAAATCGAAATGCTCACACGGATCCTACTAGTGTTAAAATTAAAATGGAAAAATCTTGTAGTACAGAATCGTGGAAGTATTGTTATGTCTATAATTGTCTAATGTCTCTACATGTCTGTAACGTCTGTAATATTATCGAGAAATATATTATAGCTCCGAGACTTTTATATTGCAAAAAATAATTGTACGAATAATAAGAAAATCTCATTCACGTGATTCATGTAAGCCTCTGTTTATTAATTTAGGTATTTTACCATTACCTTGTCTCTTTATATATGAAGCAGTGGTTTTTGTCGAAAGTGACTTACTTAAGGGCGGGGAATATATTTTCATCAACGCTGATGTCTATTACAACAACACTCGACGTAGTAATCATATTCATCAGGTAACAGTATTAACAGCTCACTACACAAAATTCACATACAAGACATGTACGTTAATTTACAACACCTTGCTAGATGACATTAAACGATTAAATTCGATACAAAAGTTTGTCCAAAGTAAAATCTTTTTTGCTGCACAACTGTTTCTATACTATTAGAGACTATACCGATCATCCAAAATGAAAGTAATTCTAATTTGAAGAACGACATTTAGTGTATTATTTACCATTGGGATTGTATAATTCTAAATAACATGTAACAAGTACTGTACTTCTGCTTCTGGCTCATTGACACCCATACATATATCAGGTTTTCGTCCAGTTCCCCTGATCTTTGAGCAAATGCTGAGATAGCACCTTGTTTTGCTCCTGGACATAAATATAACTTCAAATTAACTTCTCCCAATAGCATGTCACACACAATTTTTAACTGTTTTTGACGTAAATAAATAAAAAAATCTCGAAAGATTGGTGGAATTACGAAAGTGCTCTAAATATTCTGCAATGAGATGGAGGTTATGAGATTTTAAAATTTCCATTAAGTTAAAAACTTGCCAAATACAATTTCTAACAACCAATGTATTCTCTATCGTTTTTGGCAGTCTATGGCAGTTAACACTATTTTGTTTGAAATCAGAAGGTCCCACCAAGATTTGAACTCGGATCGCTGGATTCAAAGTCTAGAGTGCTAACCATTACACCATGGGACCCCTTGGGGGTAATTGCTTCCAAATGCCAACATATCTGAGATAAGTATCCTAGATATTTGTCACAGGATAGTATTCTTTATTTCTCTTTGTGGGAAAAGGAAAAGGTATATAGTGTAACGGATTGTATTGTGGATTTTGAATCCTCCAGTTCGAGTTCAAATTTTCGGACGTATACTTTTAGAACCTTTCTGCAAGGACTGCATCAGTCCGTAGCGGTAATTTACTGGAACCACTCACCTCTGAACTATGATATACAGAGATCAACATCTGAAACAATCTGTGTTTGAACACAAGTAGCATTGACGTGGATAATAAAAATAGTCCAGTTGGCAGGCAGAGGGGTTACCTAGTAAAAGTTCATAAAATATTTTTCTTTGGGAATGTTGTATGTATCGGGGCAGAAGTTAAAACCTCATGTTTAAGACTTCTCAGATACTGTGCTTACTCGGGATAGGCGGGTAACAAACGGTATTTTTCTGAATTTTTAGTTGTTTGTTTCTGTATAACTCTCCAACCTTACGTTACGTAGAAAATTCAGTTTTAAAGACGATAAAATTGCCCACAACTTTTGTATAAAAAACTTTTCGAACCCAATTTCTAAGCAAGCTACCGCTTTTCAAAAGATGCTATTTTTTATTTCTCCAAAATGTGTGCAAAAATATCTTTTTCGATACCATAATCAACCTTTATAAATATAATTATTGTTACATGTCACTATTATTTATCTCACCTTCGTTGTAAACCTAAGGTGAGATAAATAATAGTGACTCACAAACATACCCATTACCGAAAACAGTAATATTTAAAAAGGTCATGGATGTGTATGTGTATGTGTTCCAGCTTAACTCTTCACCACGGGAAAAATTCTATTGAAATGATAAGACTCCCCTTGGAGATGGGTGGGAAGGGAGTGATATTAAGCATTTTTTAGTAATTTTGATTTGTTGGCGACTAGTATTTAACAAATATTTTGAATGTAAGAGCCCACCGCCCCAGTCAGGCAGCTGCTAACACGCGCTCGCTTTACAACATCCGTTAAAAACGAAAAATCAAAATTTCTACAAAAAAATGCCTATCTAACATTCAACAATATGTATATTGGATTCATTTTTTACGCTCGTCGTCATGATGGACTAAAAAATATGTATAGTTCCATGTGAAAAATGTTACCTCAGTATTTCGTAAAACAAAAGTGATAACATGGAAACCAATACATAAGGGAGAAATGATAAAATTGTTAAATTGTTAGTAATTAATTCATTGAATGTTCATGAACTTTATTTTCGTGAAGTCTAAGGGTCGTACACTTCAAGTTACTTTTAGTTAAAACACTAAGCAGATGAAGTCAAGGATTTTTTGTTGAATTCTCTTTAAAAACATTAAGAACTATGTCTTCAGTGGATGATGAGTTCAGTGATTCAAAACCTAGTTATCTAAACAATTTTTGAAATGTTTGTGTTGTTTGACATTTCAAACATTGGTTGTTCATTATTTCAAATTTCAAAGAAACATTCAAAAACTGTTCAATCCTGCCAGAAAGAAGGTTTCTTCTCCCAGTATTATCGCCATACTCTAAACGTACAACTGATTTTCCAACACGTGTGATAGTGTAGTGATTGTAGGTGTAACTCTGTGTAAATAAAGGGACAGGATAAGGATGAGGAAGGAAAGATCGCACGCGGTCTGTGACCGATTATTTCGAGTAGTTTTCAGGAATTCGCTTGGTGTTGATCGTAGAAACCACGGAAAACTACGGATTAAAGCAGCCCTGGACGATGGCGATCAGAGACGCTCCAGATACCACGGCATTGCTGACTCTGAGCTCACACAGCTGGTGTGGGATTTGTGTAAGAATATGAAATTGACATTTTGATTGAGAATTAGATTTAGATTTATTTAATCAAAAATCAGGAAAAACTGTATGTGACGTATGGGGGAGAAGATTATCTATTACTATTCCTCCAATTAAAGTTTTTAGGAAATAACGAATTTTATTTTGCAATATGTTTTGAAATTACATTCAACGAGAGAATGGAACGTTTTTTTTATTAATTGAAACATTATTTATTGATTTATTGTCACAACATTTAAAATCTGTATGTGACGTGCAATGGGGACAACAGTATTCAGTTCACATTTTCTTGAATTCAGGGATCCCTACCTAACACACACAAGTTGATTTATGAATGCAGGTGGAAATGATTTTGGGAAGATTTGATAATAAAATATTCGCTTCTGGGTATTAAAAACTACAATATTCTGCGTTTTACAGCTTTCCATGTTAGTCAATATACAGAACTTTCAGAAAGTCTCCGCAGCGACTTGATAGACAATTTAATACTTTCTATGCGAAAATGTCAATGTTGCGTTGCGATCAGTTGAATCCTGCCATTGTTATTCTCAACGCAGGGCAGTTAAGGGCACGTGATCGAGAACGCGCTGTTCTTCAATGCCAGTTCTGGAAAGGCTAAGCTTGTAGAGACAGCGTTCGTTTATCAAAACGCGTTGATTCAAAGTGTTTTCTGTGTCAAGAAAAGAATACTTCTGTCTTTTCGATTTAATAATTCCTGGATAATGTAAAAGCATTAACTTTTTTGTCAATAACTATTTCCCATTGTTTCTGCTGGTTTCGTTTGCAGGGTCTTCAGTGCAAAATTTCTTCGTGCAGACTTCCGGATTTCTCAGGTTCCTTTTTTCAACTGTTCATCATAGAGGTTCAAACCCAAGCAATGTAATCTACTTAACATGAATATTTTTAATATAATGACTCGTTTTGAGAGATACTTGCATTCTGTACGAAGGAGGAAAATTTCATTTTTTCAGGAACTACGTTTGGTACGGCAATGAAATGAGTTATTTCTCCAAAAAGTATCTCAAAATTTCCTCGAAGTTGGAAATGACAATGTTATTGTCCATGACATGATTTAACGTGAAAAAAGCATGTGAAAATTGAAACAGCTGCAACGGCAGCATGCAAGCGAAATCACACAAATTACGAACCGGCACAGGGAGTGCGGCCGCGGTCTCAGCACGCACGATCGGATATCTGGCCGTAGATGAGCTTTCCACATTTCCATATAAAAGCTTCTATCGTAGAAATCTGCCTCTCGGCGGCTGGGCCGCGCGGCGTGCGGCGGGCGGCGGCGGCGGGGCTGGCCTGCGCTGGCCTTTGTCGCGGCGTGCCTTCTGATTGTACAGCGGACTTTAACTAAATGGAAGATCGCGCCACACGCAACACGACTTAATGGACAAGCCAAAAAGGGGTGTTCTTCATTAGATGGGAAAGGTATTTAAGTATCGACGCGGTGGGGATGAGGGGGCGTCGCGGAGGGGAGGGAGAGGGGTGGGGCGGGATTCTGGAGATGCATAGCCGCACATGCAACCCTACAAGAGTCAGAATCCCATTGCCGTTAATTTAAGCTGAGTAACAGATCAACACAGTCCGTCGGCATCCAATATTCGCATCCCAGACTCCTTTCACTTCTCAGACATCCCTATACAAACATCAAGCAAGATACTAGGCCTTTACTCATGCGCTAGATAATTCACCTGGCAAAGACAGCGCTGCAAAGACATCAAACAACAATCCCTCTGCTCATCTTTACCGCATCCATCACACTAAGCAGCTAAATCAAGCATTTATCATATCTCATCGTAATGTCTCCCTCTCGCAACAATCCAAGCAATATATCCACAATCTGGCCCCTTTGCAACCACTCTAACAGATCCAAACATATACCTACTTACACAAGACAAGGAACTATTAATTTGACTTACTCCATATGCACACCCCCGAATAACCATCAACATTCGGCGCGGCCCGCCGCCGGCGCGCCAGTCGGCGAGCAAGGGCGGCGTCCAAGCACCGGAGGCGGGGGCGGCTCTCGCGCTGCTCTTCTCCGCTCAACGTGCGCCTGGCGAGACCCCCGACCCGCGCAGCGGCCGTCATCCGGACCGCGCGCGGACCCCAAGGCGGGGTAAGTCGTGGCGGTTCCACGCAACCATCGGCATCACCATCATTAGGTTTTATCATCGTTTTCTACAGGGTTCGACTTGTCATTGGCTCCAACGTGTGCACTATCTAGCCATTCTTTTTAGCTTTTCATACAGTATCACTGACTGAACAGTTTGCGCCGTTGTATCCAATTATTTTGGGGTTAGCTCTCATTCCTTCCCTCCCCAGAATTTTTCCAATATAATTTCTTCCAAAAGCGTACATTTTACTTGGTGAATAATCAGTCGATTTTTCTTCTTTCCATTCACCTCACCTTGTTTTGTTTCATATATTTTTTTTCTGTCGAAATATTTTTTGTCCTTTGAATGCAATGTGTGTGTATTCTTCTGGATGTTAAGTATATCTCTGACATGTAAGTACATCTTTGAAAAACATTGCAACAACAAATAACTATGGCGGTGGTGTACATACATGATTAATATATTGGAACAAATTAATCTGTTCATCTATGTTACGTCTTAGGCTTCCACAGCCAGAACATTCGCATAATCTGTTCATTAGGTTAATCATATATTATTTATTTCTCATTTTTGCTGACACTATTTAATACTCCATGACATGAGTAAATCTTCTAGTAAAAAATGGAGTATCGTATTAAGCAAGGGATCAAATTCAATAGATTTATTCATTGAAACAACTGATTATTAACTAAGTAATATATTGAATGAGACAGTAGATCAATATAGGATTTTCCCCAACGGTACAAATGCACAAAAAATATATTCAAATTTTAAAATATAATCAAATTTAAATTACCGGCGTGGGGTTAAGGCTAGAGCCAAATGTTACACTTCAGCTTAAGCTGTAGTGGGGAACCCTTCAGCAGAAAGGATATCATGCATAAAAATACTCCAATTTATAGTTGTAATATAAAACTAGTGCTGCTAAAACAGCACGTACTTCCTCCCCCGCATTTTTACGCGAAAAGCACCGACATTTTTGAAAAATTTTACAGGACCAGATTTCGAAATATATCTTTTAGCAGCAAATTTCATTTAGAGAAAGTCTCTCTCTTTAATATTTTATTTGTAGGAAGGCTCCGAAAAAAATTGAACTATAGGAATTATCGAAATATCAGGGTTTTTAGAGAACATGACACCAGCACTTTCTCTTAAACGTTCTTTACACTATCCAACAACAAAATTTAATCAAAAACAATGGAGCATGTTTTTTGAAAATTACGAAAATTTTCCGGGGGCTTCACGTAAAGTACCCCCAAAATGAAAATATTGGTTTCAAATTCAATGGGCCGCAACATCAGCCAGATGGATTGAGGAATATCACTTTTGGAAAAAATCGGCTGAACTGTTTAGCAGCTAGCGTTGTTCACAGACGGACGGACAGACAGACAGGCGGACTGACAGGCGGACGGACCGACGGACCGACGGACCGACGGACGGATCGACAGACTGACGTTTTGCCTTCATTCGATTTTTCAGATTCAAGGACCCACAAAACATGAATTCTCGCGACAACACGTGATAGAGAATTTTTTTCTAAATTTAGCAACTGGTTTTATTTACGGTTTCGTTATCAGGGCCCTGTAATAAGAGTTTTTCTGCCGAAAATTCGCCGTTTTCTCGCGCAACATTACATAAAGTTTTATACACTCCGTAAGGAAAAAGTAAAATTACTGCCTTATTTTTAATTCTTAAGATTGAGTATAAGTTTGTTCAATTAATAGTATCGTGGTGGGAATTCATAGTATTCCTTGCGGAGGATGCACACCAGTATTTTTCTTATAAAGTAATTTCAACACCACATTCCAGACATCTTATGAATCTTGTATTTTTTTCTGAAAATAGGCAGAAGTTTTTATTTTAAAAAACCTTTGAATTATAAGGGTAAAATATTAGAATTACTCAAATGCAACGAACTTACATCTAGAAACACACACGTCGTGTACAGGAGGATAAACACTATATCATAATCAATGTTAAATCTTAAATTCTGAAATTCAAACACTTTACAGAAAGTGACATTTCCCAATATATCAACGGTAACCGTTTAAACAGAAGTTGTCCTCTACCCTCCACCAAGATAGCTAGCTTAAACTATCGTACGTGGTCTTGGAGCATGAGTTTGGCTGAAGACTAATTTCTCTATTGTAATATCTCTCGGTCTTTTTAGACCTCCATATGACATTCCGACAGGATTTCAATGACATTAGGAATTGAATTTTGTCTCTGACCTACAGCCATTCCAACAAAAAAGCATGTTCATCCATGAACTACCGCCTCTCTTGCCTTTGGACCACTGAAAAAGAATTGCCGAGCAATCATTTTATATTCGATCAAGCAGACGTTTCCTATCAAGGTAAATGTATTCAGTGTTGGATTTTTTGGCTCTGTGCAGACTCACTCCAGCTGTTACAAGGTTTGCATTCCTATTTTTATAATGTGGACATAAAACGTTTCTATACACCCGTGTATCATATCTAAAAATAATTCCTTAGAAGAAATATGATGCGTTTTAAATTATATAATAAATTAGCACTGCATTTACCTACTTCATGCTTCATGTTTATATTGTTGGAAAAGCTAAACATACTACTGTCAATGTTAATTTAGTGTTAATAAATGAAGTTCGTGTGCATCTCGGCGTATTGATGCAATCGGACGTAAAAAGATATTGTCGGATAATTGCATCCTTTTGGGCGAATAAAACAATATTATCTATTCGTGCCCGCCACTCTTCCTTTCTAACTTCAACGAGTAATTAAGTATCAGAGAGATTACATCGTAAACAAAGCTATTGAATTGTGTTTTTCCGTGCCGTTTACAAGTCGTAATTGGAGAGGATGGGATCAAGGGAATACGTGTGTGCCACGTTAGCAACGATGGTGAAGGCCTCTTTGAATCCCGCGACGTAGCTTGAAGTAGGGCCTGATGTCACTGCAGTCCCTCTATCGGGAGGGCCTAGTTTCGAGTCCCGACGGTGGCAGGATTTTCGACACTAGCTTGTCAGCTGTGTCGAATTCAGTCGCTGTCTGGAGGAGAATTCTAGCGGCCGGCTGCTCGGTAGTTTTTCGTGGTTTCTCCGATCAATATCAGGCGAATGCCGGAGCTGTACCCTAAAAGAAACAGGCCACGGACCGCGCGCGATCGCACCTTCCTCTTCCTTACACACACAGACACACAAACACACACACACACACTTGACTAATGCGCACTACACTATCACACATTCCGGGAGACCGGTCGGGAGCTTAGAGCTTGGCTCGTCTGGGGCATTGCCCCATTGGTGGGAGATACTTGGTTGAGGAAAACCCCGCTGGCCGACGGTAGGTCGGCGACGGATCTCGCAATACAGAGGGGGAAAGATCACCGCCCCTTCCCGAACAAAAACTTGCATTACAGTTCCGGGACTAATGACCCTGGTAGTTAACATGCCCGGAATCACTAAATCAATCAATCAATTGAAGTAGTGTCGCTAGAGATACGCATGGAATGTTCGGTAGAATAAATAAATTCACAAAGAGGTTAAAAAATAAATCTGAATGTCCATCTGAAGAAGACCGGCAAAGGTGGTTCAACTGATGTCACAACTGTGCCCCTGGTCGGGAGGTTCTAGAGTTCGAGTCCTGACGGTGGCAGGATTTTCGACACTGGCTAGACTTCGGTTTCCTAACAATAGAACGGAAATACGTTATGAATATTAAAATACAGTAAAAACCTCGTCCTAAATGGCATTTTCCTTCAAAAAATTGGAGTCATTTTCAAAAAAATGGAGCCACTGAAATTTCAAGCTCTTTTCACAGAAAACAACTGAGTTTTCGAAAAACAACATTTGAAGTCATTTCAAGCACATTAAATCACAAATAAAATAGTATTTACAAATTGCTAGTAATGTGCATAGTAACTGCGTGAGAAATCTTTCGATAATATTACATGTGTTTAATGTTTGAAACGACAAAAAAACTCCGAAATGAACATTACTTTATATTAAGGAGTGCAACAAGCCCTATCCGTTCAAAAAGATTGAAGAAAAAATATGGAGCTGTTTTTGAGAAAATTGTTTCAGCATTTCTGAAAATGAGGAATTTTGAGCTATTTTTCACGGAAAATTTGAGTTTTCTTGGAACTTTATCTGATATTATTTAAAACACACGTACTCATAAATACGTTAATGTAAACAAATTGCCGCTAATGAAAATATTAACATCGTGAAAGACAAGTCAAAAAATGACATTTTTGTATTTTTTGGGAAAAAAAACAAAAGAATACAGCAATATGTCGTATATGTCATCTTCTAGAGGGCATTTAGTACTACCCTTACAAAAAGTTTAAAGAACAAAATTTGGAGCCGTTTTTGAAAAAATCTTATTTTTGTAATTTTTGAAAATTGCACGCAATATTGAGCGGAAACTACAAAAATTTTCAAAAAATATACATGACCTTAATAAAAGTACTCGCTACAGAGAAGAAATTTTATTTGGAAGAAAAATCTCTATCTTCAATTTTGTAATTGTGCTGCCTGATTTAAAAAAAATATATTGCATGAAGATTTTTAAATATCTATTGTTTTCAGAACCCAGGTAATTTAAAAGAAAAATATCTATCTTCAATATTGTACTTTTGCAATATTGTTTTGACATTTTTGATAATCCAGAGAGTTCAATAAAATTGGGATCTGCGCCATTTTTAAGCGTCGTTTGCTCTATTGATAAAAAGTTATAAAAAAACTTTTTAGCATTTTTTGAGAAATTTAGAACATGTTTTTGCTGTTTCATGTAAAGCACTTTTAAAACTCAAAAATATCCGTTTCAAAATCGCATTGCTTCGAGGTCGATCAC